AGGAGATTGTCTTGACCAGGACCACACCCCTAAATGCATTGAAGCAACTGCCATGTGATTGGTTGATTAGATAATTGCATTAATGATAAATTGAACAGGTGTTCCTAATAATCCTTTAGGTGAGTGTATGTACTAGTGAATGATGTGTACATTACATCTGCAGTATTGTAAGATAAAAATTATTTAATTGATTTAAACTGTATTCTATCAATATATATATTTAGTTTATGTCAGCCCATTAAGTCCTTTTCCATGGACATATATTGATTGATTTTGCATATTTAACTGCTTACGTGTGTTTTCAATCGTGAGGAGCCTGCAGTACCTTTTCTTGTGAGTGTCAGTGGTTTTTCAGATGGATAATGTCATGGATAGAGTTACTTGTATGACTGTATGGAGTCAGATCAGGTTAGGTTGGGGAGCATGCGCTGATGCAGCACATTGCCACACCCACTATACAGCGAAACTCCTCAAGATCCTGGCCGGTGATCCCCCAGGCAAATACACGGTCCTGTCCCACCCTCTGGAAGTGGCCATCCATCTGCTGCAGGCAGGTGTTACGTGGGTGTCCCCTTGGCCTGTTCCAACTGCTTGGTCCTCAGCAATGAGGATCCTGTGAGTCGGATCACCCTCAGGGAAACGCGCCACATGGCCGTAGTGCTGTAACTGACGCAGCCGTCTGCTGACTTCATAGGAAGAGTCACCAGAGACATGAATGTCACTGCCGAGGTAGGTAAATCTCTTGACATGGTCGACATTCTCCCTGCAGACAGACACACTACTGATGGCTGTGCCCAAGAAGTCATTAAATGCCTGGATCTTGGTCTTTATCCAGGACACCCGCAATCCCAGACACTCAGACTCCTCACTCAGTCTCTCGAGAGCCCCAATCAGAGCCTCCATCAACTCTGCTAAGATCACCACATCGTTGGCAAAGTCAAGATCAGTAAATATTTCTTCACCAATGGACGCCCCACATCTGCTGGACCCCACGACCCTGCCCAACACCCAGTAGGAGCAGGAACACACCCCTGGCGAACTCCAGAATCAACTGGAAAGAACACAGAGGTTCTCCCTCCACTCTGCACAGCACTCATAGTACCAGTGTTTAGGCCGACCATGATGTCCAGCAACTTCGGAGGATCCTGCAAAGACTCAGGATATCCCACATGGCAACTTGATCAACTGAGTCGAATGCTTTACGGAAATCGACAAAGGCTGCAAAGAATCTCTGCCGATATTCATGCTTGTGCTCGATGAGAACCCTCAGTGCAAGTATAAGGTCAATGGTAGACTTCTTAGGCATAAAACCAGACTGTTCCAGTCACTGACAGACAAGCAAGTGATCACAGATCCTATTAAGGATGACCCTAACAAGGACCTTACCCGGCACTGAAAGCAGTGTTATTCCCCTGCAGTCACCACAATCCAGGCGATCACCCTTCCCTTTCTAGGTATGGACTACAAGTCCCGTTTTCCAGTCAGTTTGGATGATGCCTGACTCCCAAATGGAAGCAAACATTGTCTATAATCCCAGGAGGACAGCCTTACCACCAGCACGGATAAGTTAATGGCATTCTTTCATTCTGAATAACAGTGACAAGCATAGATTTTTCAGGCAGGTGCTCAAATGGAGGGGACGTGGCTGACCTGGAATTCAGTATATGCTGTGTATGTTACCATGCTGTGTTTTTAACATGCTTATCTGTAATTCATATTGAAATACTAAGCTATATTTCTACATCAGCTCCTACACTATGTATATGAGCTAAATGTGAATTCAACATTTTAATTCTAATTCCTTACAGTCAAATTTGAATTGCGATTCTGCAACCTGTTTTCAACCAATTTTATGAATTGAATTTGAATTTCAAGATCATTCTCAATTCATTTCTGTAGCTGCATTTCTTGTCAGACTAAGGATTATATATCTGGAGCTTTGAACCTGCATAACTTCACAGAGCTTACTGTTTCTTCGTTCTCTCCAACAATTCTTTTACTCTGTCTGTTCTGAGTTGCCCTCGCAAGCCGTGGCATTTCTCAGCTTAGTCAGTTTATTATATTTTATATTTATTATATATAATATTATATTTCTTAAGCAGTGAAGTGCCCCTCCAAGTGAAAAAACTATAAATAGCAGGGACTGGATTTTTCAACATGAAAAAATGATTTTTTACCAAAAATCGATTCCAGTATACTACAGTCATCTTACAGTGTGGATTAGAATGTTAATCAGTTACATTTTTGGTAAGTTCATGCCAGCTGCATGAAACAAAACAGCTGACCACATTCCGCCCAAGTGCCTTCAGTTTGACACCTGTGTTAAACAGTGAGGGCAGGAAAAGGAACCCAGCCATCTTAGCCAAATGACAGAACGGTATGTGGACCACCCTACAACAGGCAACTACTGCAGCAGAGTATGGCTGAAACCAAACTGTATAATAAACCTTCAATAAACAAGGAACAAGGATAAATACTGAAACTGAATCCAACTGTCTTTGTACCTTAAAATCATTTTTGAATATGGACATTATTTCTAGGAATTGTGATCAGTATATGTAATATTTAGTCATTTATTAATTTGTCAACTTCTGTATCATATATCTAAAATAGCATTTAAATTTTTTGTTGGTAACAAAATTGTAAATTAGTTCTAATTTATTAACTCTATATAATATGCCTAGTATTATTTTAATTTCATCAGCAGTAGTTAATTGTCGTAAAACTACCTTTTTGTATGGCTAGGCTGTATTCTAAAATTTTCTTTTCTGAATATACTCTTTGTTACTTTCTTCTTGTTCCTCATTTTTGATTAAAACCAAAGCAGAGGGAGAAGATTGTGGTTAACATGTCTTTCAGGGGAAACAGGAAAGGGACTTTATCTTCCTCATTTAGAGCAGTTTGAGATGTTTCTTCAACTAGGAAATCAATCACAAAGCATAATCAGCACTAACAGAGGTAAGACAATGCAACTTGATAAAATCTAAAGAAGAATTCAGTAATTTGTTCATTGTTTTACTGCAACAAATGTTTTGTATTAATTATACTTAATTAAACTGCATTACTACATAATGGTATAGAACTAGTGATAATCATGTGTTTAGTTAAAAAGAAACCTTTTGTGAAAAGCATAGCACAGTACAAAATAGCTGTTTAATATGTTACAGCAAGTTGCAAGTGCAGATTAATATTTTCAATGATATTTGTTCAAAGGAAAACTGCTTCTGCTCAAGAAATATCACAAAAGTGGAACTATAAATGAATACTGTAATTCTGTAATTTTAAAACAGGTATGTATAATAAAGGAATTGAATAATAAATTGAAAGGGAAATGTTGTATAGTAACTAACATTTTTATTTATTTATTTTAGGGATATCTCAGGAATATTACTGGTGGATTCTCTTTGTGAAATCCCTGCCAAGTCTGGTTCACCTGGACAACTGTTAAAATACATTTTCCATTGTAGCAGTTTCAGAATGTTATACCATGAAGATATATGATGACAACATCTGACACTGCAAAGCAAAAAAACAGAAGAATATCAAGCTTCTACGTTTTAACATTGCATCCTCAGCTAGATGACATGACTAAGTCCATATACATTGCTCTTGTTTTTTCAGGGCTTTTATTTCAGCTCGTACTGCTTGCAGCTGGATACAGCTTCCAAAACTGTATAGAAAACCCATCACAAAATAATTCATTCAACTGCATTCACCGTAGGCAAAGGAACATATCTGCACTGGTTGGAGATCTACCTTCCTGGGCTACAGTTCTCAACGTCTCCCATAATTATCTGCAAGACATTCCAGAAAGTTCATTTTCCCAGCTCCGCCAGCTGAAAACCCTTAGAATGGATTCTAATAACTTACAAAATATAAGTGACAATGCCTTTTCTGGTTTGGGACACTTGGAAACCTTGAATCTGTCTTCCAATAACATTGCCCATCTCAGTTCTGCAGCATTTGCTGACCTTGTTAACCTAACTTGGCTTATCCTGAGCAACAATGTTTTGCAAAATTTGTCAACCCAAATTTTTTCAGGACTTTCAAATTTAGAAATTTTAAGTTTGCGCGCAAACAGTTTGATTAATTTCTCAGAGATAACTGAATCGGTAACACATCTGTCACAGCTTAGGGAATTAGACCTTTGTGGTAATAGTTTGTCATCTCTTCAGCATTTCTCTGGCTTTCCTCGGTCCCTTGCCATCCTCTACTTGTGTAAAAACCATCTTGCCACGTTATCATGTGAGTATAGCTTTCTTAGCAATATCCACTTATTGGACCTGTCATACAACATGCAACTCCAATCAAGTGCCTTACAGAATCTAAATCTGAAGAATATTAATTCACTACATTTGGGTTTCACCCAAGTCTCACCCTATCAGCTTTTGAATGACAGCAGTGTGAACCCAGGTCATGTGGATTTCTCAGGTATGAATTTATCAACTAAAAATCTTCTGGAAAACCTGTGCAGTCTTTTGAAAAACAGAAATGCCAGTTTGCATATGCTAAATCTTCAGAACAATGGGATTCGAAACCTGGAGAGAGCAATATTCTCTACCTGCCCCTTGTTTAAAACAATCAATCTGTCTCACAACAAGTTAAAAAAAACAAATTGTCTAAGTTTTCTCGAAGATCAGAAATCATTGGTAGAAGTCATTTTGGAGCACAACCGTCTCAATGGCCTTGAAAATTGCTCAAGGAGCTTGCGTTTTCATAATGTGACTCAATTAAGTTACCGCTACAACCGAATCCTCAGTGTGAAATCCCATGCATTTACCCCAACTCCTAGACTACAGGTCCTCAAACTGAACATAAATAACATTGCATATATGGTAAAGAGAGCATTCAAAGGATTAAAAGACTTAATCACACTCCGTCTTGACAATAATCTTCTGACGGACCTCTATGAGGAAAGTTTTGTGGGCTTGGACAGATTGCAGATCCTTAACCTTCGTAACAATCGCATTGCAGTCATTTTCAATAAGACATTCCACACCCTTAATCAGCTGAATATTCTAGATCTAGGTGGAAATAAGATTTCGCATCTTCAACCTGAAGCATTTGTGGGCCTTAAAAACCTCAAAAACCTGTACTTGGACCGAAACTATCTGAAAGAAATTTACAGAGAGCAGTTTGAGCATGTACAAGTTACACTGCAAGTCCTGGACCTTCAAAGGAACTTGATCCACTTCATGTCCATCCATACAAGCTCTCCATTTGTGAAACTATCTAAGCTGCAAGACTTAAAATTGGATGGACAGCAGCCATTTGGGATTACCTTGTTGCCTCATGGATTTTTCCAAGGTCTCAAATCTCTTAAATCCCTCTATCTCACAAATAATAAGATCTATACTTTCCAAACTGATACATTTGATGACTTAATCAGCCTGGAATTCCTATCTTTGGACAACTGCTGTAGGGGAGTTGCACCACTACGGCCAGGAATTTTCAAAAACCTTCGCAATCTTAAGAGACTCTCTGCAGAGAACATAGGCACAGAAACACTTTCAGCAAAAGTTTTTGGTAACCTTACCAAGCTGCATATCTTGCAGCTGACCCATAACAACATAAAGTCTGTGGATTCTGCTCTCTTAAACCAGCTTCCCAATCTACGCTACCTTGACCTTCGTCTCTGTCCCTTAAGTTGTACATGCATTAACAGCTGGTTACAGAACTGGACTAAGAATAACAACAAAGTTCAGCTTGTCTACTTATATAATCTAACCTGCCCAGACCTTTCACAGTCTAATTTCTACAGCTTTGACCTCAAAGTATGTTACCAGGACTTTGGTGTTTATCTTTTTGCCACCACCAGCGCCTTGCTTTTTTTGATGACTGTTTTTCCATTGCTCTATGTTAAGCTCTACTGGCACTTAAAATACACTTATTATGCGTTTTCATCCTGGTTTGGTGAGTATTGGCGTCGACTTCAAGATAATGAAGAGCAATGGAAATATGATGCATTCATCTCCTATAACTCTGCAGATGAGAAATGGGTGCTAAATGAGTTGCTGCCAAATTTAGAAGGGAGGGAGTCTTCATACCGGCTCTGCCTGCATCACAGAGACTTTGAAGTAGGACGAAATATTGTGGATAATATTGTGTCAGCAATATATGCCAGCCGTAAGACACTTTGTGTCGTGAGCCAACACTACCTCAGCAGTGAATGGTGTTCTCTGGAGATTCAGCTAGCCAGTTACCGCCTTTTCCATGAATATCGAGATGTGTTGATACTGGTCTTCCTTGAGCCAATATCAGAGAGGCAATTGTCTGTCTATCACCGCATGAGGAAAGTCATGCTCAGGAAGACTTACTTGCAATGGCCAAGCCCTGACTGCTCAGACCCTGTTCAAGCACAGGAACTCTTCTGGAGTCAGCTTAGGAGAGCACTGAGGAGTAGCAGCATTAATCAACATGGTGAGAAAGTGCAAGAAGTAAGGGAAGAGCACTGTCCTATTAATGAAGTGACTGATGATGAAATCAGTTATTTAATGCCCTGATTGTAAATGCTCATCACCTTTTGTAACACCTGCAGTTATCAATCCTGGAAGTGAATCTTAATCTTCTAACTAGATTCAGCATTGATATCTTTTCATAATAAGAAATTATAGGCAGAAACTAAGCTTTGCTATATTTATCTTCATATGTATTTTTTAACAACAAGATGGAAATGTGGTCAGCATAACAGCCTTATACCTGTGAGCTCGATTCCTGTCCCAAGCTGTCTGTGGGGAGTATGCATATTCTCCCTGTGTTAGCTGAAGGTTCCTTTCAGTACTGCCAAAGTCCAGAAGCATGTGGTTGGTTAAACTGGTATGTGAGTGTGTGCTCTGGAATGGTTTGGCATCCCGTCCTGAGTTTTCCCATGTGCTGTGCTTCCTGGGATTGGCACCAGGCTTGCCCTAACTCTGCATGTAGTTTTTTGTGTACTCTGCATGATATGAGAAAAAATATTTAGATAGGCCAATTTAAGTACACTATTATAAAATGTAAATTACTTTGTAGAGTGAACTGTAAATATCTCATCATCAAATTAATGAGATATAGCTTATCATATGAAAATTTAGTACAGACTATTAGTTTTAAGTATGTATGTTTATTACATAACAATATTTGCAAAATATAAAGATTCCTAACAAACTGAACTTCTAAACTGAAATTTTAAGTATTTTGTATTACATATTTGACCACATTCAATTTCACAGTACTCTGAGCTTTCCAAGTAAAAGTTTTATGAAAACATCCAAGCCTGTGTGAATTATTATTTTTTTTTTTGCACAACGCATGTTGTTCTTTCCACTGAAAAATATTTTGTAATAAATGCAGATCAGTAAAGCTTCATTCGAGGGTAAGACCAATGTTCAGGGCTGGGGTAAAAAGGGAAGGACAGTTTTCGGGGAGACAATCCTTTTTCTAGCCTGTCAGAGGGTGGATATTGACTCATGTCCAATCTATAGAATTTAGATGTTGAAGGAAGTGTGTGAGAGGGATAGTATGACTGCATATACTGATGCAAAAGTGGACAGTGATGGGGAGGAGAAGAATTTTTAAATAACTTGTTTAAATAGCTTTTCTCTGTGTCAATTGAACACTCTTCCCAAAACTTCAAATGACTTGAGCCATTTCTAGGAGCTGAAAGAGTATATTTTAAGAAAGGCTTTCTGTTCCTCTCAAAACTTTCTGTTAGGTTTAAAAAGGACACATTAGTGTCACACTTCTTCTCACCAACAATAAAAGCTGTTGTTCCTTTGTTTGAAGGATATACCCAAGGCAATGGAGACCCGTCATGTGTTTTAGCTGGAACTGGAGATAATGCATCAAATGCTGGTTGGAGATCCATAAAAAACTCTGAGGAGTGTGGCCTCAAAACATTAACGGACACACTGGATTGCTGGATTGTAGTGCTTGAATTCCACTCTCTTGCCTAGATGAATACAAAAGCAGGCAGCATAATTATACATTAAAATACATTATTAAGTATTTTAAAAGCGTTCATAAGTAATACACATTTAACAATGCAATCTGATCTGAATGCAAAAGGTAATTCCACTAGAAAAAAAACACATTTTTAATTAAATGTCATGATGCCTTGTATTCCCCGCGACCCAGATGGATAAAGCAGTATAGCTGATGGATGGATGGATGCCTTGTATTTACAACATCCCCACTGTTTTCAAATAAATGTCACTCGCTGGTACTACCTGGAGGCAGTTTATTCCCCACTGTGTATTGGAAGCCTAAACAGAGCAAAATTCATGTACCCTCAGGTAGCAAGTTCCAGCTAATATAATTCTTAAGATTTCTCCATTGAATGTGCATGCACACAATTTAAATATATACCTCAGAAACACACATCAACAATACATTTACTACTTTAAATACAAATAAGGAGAAATAATAGTGTAGATTTCTCACTGCTATTTTAGCTTGTGGTGACTCAGAGAGCAGCTGCGGCTCCAGTTTCTGGGGGTTCTTCTGTTTCCTCCTCCGATGACAGCCAGCTTTGTGTGTCCTGGTCCAGGGTGGCTCTCTGTCTGGGCTATTGCCTCCATTTGAATGGGATGGAATATACTTGGAATCTGGATGGGAAGAAGCAGCTGTGGAGCAGTTGAGCAAAACCAGTAATGCAGAATGCCCAATTTAAAATAGCTACATGAAAACCAACAATCAACTGCATGGAGGTCTAAGTAACCAGCTTCAATTTACAGTCACATTGCTTATTAAATGCAACATATTACATGGCACTATTGACCTCCGTTTACACTGGTGTCTGAATGAACTGGATAAACATACAAGTACATTGTCTGACCTCTTTCTGCCACCATTGCATCACAGCCAAGGGTATGCTGCACTGCATGGAGATTGTTTTGCAGCTGGACACCATGGCTCTCTTGAAGTGCCTGGAGCAGAGCCTCCTTGCTTTCGACCAGCAGACATCCCCGGCGCCACAGTGGCATGTCTAGGGAGTGATGCAAGCGCGAGACTACTGTGGCCACGCGTGCAGAAGGATAATTCTCAGCTTTATTTTGTGTCACATCTTCCACAGTAGGTGGGTCAGAGTCTAAACTGACATCATTTCTAAGACTGCTTTGAGAATTGCTAATCTCAGACACCTGCAGGGGTGTTGATGTTGTCATTGTCTTTGAATCATTGCATTGTTGCCTCTCCCTCTCTGCAGTATGCGATTGCAGCGAATCATTATCCAGTACTACACCCAAAGAGCTCAACTCAATTTTATTTGAAATCCTACCATCAGAACTGTCTGAGGATAACTGGAAGGCAGGTTCATTTTCAGATGAATGACATGATAGAAATCTGGAATCTGCTGCCAATTTTTCTTGAAGAGAACTTGTTCCCTGGCTGTTGGAATCTTGTTGAGAAGCAGAAAATCCTGTTTTTTCAACTTCTCCTGAAATTAGGCCTACCAGAAAAGATTCACCTGTCTTCACCATTTTTTCTAGCACAACAGCTTTCGAGGGAGTTATACAGGAGTACTCTCGGTTTGTATTTTTCTGTGTAATTCCTTCTCTGCTTTTTTTCCGATTTTTCTTATATGGACTAAGAAAAGGGCCACAGTATGTACTGGGTCCAGGATCAGGAGATGGATAACAAGATGAAGGAACAGTATTTTTAGTGGTACAAATTTTACTAAGGTTTTCTCTTCTTCCTCCATCGGTTTTCTTACTCTGGTCCGTTAACAGTCGTACAATGTTGATGGATTTTACTTCATGGCTAAACAGACCACGATGACCAATTAGACGACTGTCAGTAATGATGCAGGGCTCCTGCTTGGAGAAAGTCCTGCCAGACAGAGGTTCTCTGGACAGAGGGGGCTTTTGGCATTTTGGACAGCAAATGGGGCATTTAGATGTTTTAACTTCCCTCCTACTGTATTGCCGATAGCTTTGTTTGGTCTCTTGTCCTTTCTGATTTCTGAATTGACTTCTTTCCTTACGAGTCTTTAGTCGTTTCACTTTGAATTTTCTTGCTTGATTTTTACAAAAGCTTACACCAGAAGGATCTTGGGTGCATTGGGTAGATGAACCACTGAGTTCTTCATGCATATTGAAGTGCTTATTAAAAACATCCAATACATTCTGCCTGTCTCTCATTGTCTCACCATGAGTCTGGCTCATTCTGAAAGGGACATTGGGTTGAGAAGTTACACAAACACACTTACTGTTACTGTGTTAATCTCCTGTAAATTCTTACAGAAGTCAACAAGGCAGAAAATTTACATGGTTCCTTATCTAGATAGCTTTTTAATGGTTACAGTACATTTATAAGTAGACTAGTATATGATTTGTAATCACTCTGGTTTAAGTTTATTAAGAAACGAGTTTGTGGTAAATTTTAAAATGCATATCTTCGGTTATGTATTTTAGACAGTTACACTGTATTTCAGACAGTTACTTCAGTAGTTAAACCGACGTTATTTACTACCCATCTTACCTTCGTTCAAAAAGCGGGTGCTACTGAGTATACAACAAACTGCTGGAGTCACGATTGAAACTTCCATTAGAGAGCGTTGGTTAATTTATAAAGCGCATGGTTGTATAAATGTAGGCGTGTATTTTTGCAGGTAATATTATTAATTCTTTTAATCTTTTCAAAAAGAGTTTATGAGCTAGTCAGATTTAAAACCTGACTGAAACACGGTTGCTAGGTTACCTGCCCGTGATACCCATACAATTTGCGCAACGAATTTTCCAAGATAAAAATCTATTTGCGTATTAGTAAAAAAACATACGATTATTGTCACAGTCATTTTACGTAAAAACACTTCTGTTGTTTACATACAATACAGCGTATCATAGTTAACTGTTAACTGCATTTTGGATTTTTTTAAATTGCGTTTAACAATGCTCCGTTGCTCCACTTTTGCATGTCTGCATGCAGTTCTGCTATGCATTCATTTAAACCTATTTATGATATGAACTGTTTCCCTCCTTTATTTTGCCATATGTTGAATATAATATAATATAATATAATATTATATTATAAGCAATAAAGCCAGAGGAGCGTGAACCAAAGTACTTGCTATTTTGGAAAAATAGACGGCACTTCCTAGTGAACTGAGCAGTGGCTGTGGAAAGGTCTAAATTTGAAAAAAAGGAGGGGGGGTTATAAGATTATAAAGTAATCAGTATTAAAGAAATTACTTTTGCTCTTTGTAAAACATATTACATCTTATTTATTTAAATTTATATTATCGCCATTAGATATTATGCCAACGTTACACGATAAATTAATATTAACATTGTCAAACATTGAAAGATGTCCCCTGTGTTTGTAAATGGTGTATGCAGATGTCATTGTTTCTTCTTTACACAGTGAACGTTTGTGAAGGAGTTCGTCAGCTATCTTTCTTTTCCTTTGTTTAGGTGATTATGAAAAATGTTATTACAAAATCCGCTAATGTCCTTTCCTAATAAGACATGTAAAAGAGGTTTACACAGATGTATTTTTCCGCAGCTCTGCGCTCTGTTCTTTGTGGCAGATTCACGCATAAGCCAGAATTGCTATCCAACATGTCATGCTATATCGATACTACCACAGTGTTGTTGACAAGCTATTCTTTACATTATTTTCCACAGTTAATTAGTCAAGGTGATAACAGTACGGCTAAAACAAACCTTAATGGCACGTCCATTTATTTTATCTTTTATGCATTATTGCTAAATGTTAGCAACCCTTCAAGGCATGGAGAAGGCCACTTATTTAGCCGGCCAATTCACATTTTTTTGACTTGCATTATATTACTGAAATCCGAGTCAAACGACAAATAGTTCATTTAAATTTAATCGACAATCGGTCCTATTTATTTATATAGGGGACAATTATTTCTCATATGTATAAGTAATATGAATCTAATTTTGTTTCAGATAAAGTCATGAGTTGTGCAGATTCTAACCCGGCTACCATACCAACTCCTTGTGTGGACATTCAGGGAGATGGTCGGTGGATGTCTTTGGTATGTTTTCTGATAAAATTTTAATCCTACATTTTAATCTGGAAATACAACCCAACGAATGTGGTGATGACTCTTGTAATCCTCTTTACAGCATAATCGCTTTGTGTCAGACAGTAAGGACAAGGAGCCTGATGTCCTCTTTGTTGGAGATTCCCTGGTTCAGCTTTTACAACAGTTTGAGGTTACATTTTTCTTTGAAATGTGATGTAGCTGTTAGATGCCTGTACAGTCTGTCATGTGTTGACTCATATTTTTTATGTAACGGGGAAAGCATTACCATGTAAATTTTATATATTGTCCATAGCCAAATATGGTGAGCATGATGGGACCTGGAAAGGGTACAGGGCAAGGGACACCCAGAATGGGATGCCAGATTCTCATGAGGCTCACAGGCTAATGCACTGAAACGCTAAAGGCACTTTAGAGATACCAAATAACCACTCGAACATCAAATTGCATGTTTTTCAATTGTTGTTAAATTTAAATGTGCATTTTCTCTTATCCTTGGTGTAATGGTCTGTCGCTGGTAGGTTTGGCGAGACCTGTTTTCTCCACTCCATGCTCTGAATTTCGGAGTGGGTGGTGATGCCACACAGCATGTCCTTTGGAGATTAAGCAACGGAGAGCTTGACCATATCAGCCCTAAGGTATATCCGTACATTACATGCACATCAACCCAGTTTTTTTCCCCCTGACCACAAGTCTTTAAAGATGCATTTCAGCATTTTTCTGAAATAGTAATCCCCTAGCATCCCTGTTTTTGGCAGTTGTTTTATGATCAACACATTCACTTCTCAAAGTACAGTTGTAACCCTGTTTGTTTCTGATATTTGTGAATACAAAAAGAATGATAGACATAATCAACTTGTGGTTGTTTAGTCTTTCCATGTACAGTTGAATAGAACAATATGGCCCAATGTTTTAACTTGAAAACCCAAGAGGCATTTCCCCAAACTACTGTTTAAACTATCTAATGAAAAAAATCCAGCAGTTTGTTTGATGTCACTAACAAATTTACTGATGCTTTATAAAATCTGGGCTCTTGTCTCTTCTGTTTAATTTTATGTTCACTTTTTTCAGTGTGACTTGAAAGCAAACATTTACAGTCAGGTCCATAAATATTGGGACATTGACACAATTCTAATCTTTTTCGCTCTATACACCACCACAATGGATTTGAAATGAAACAAACAAGATGTGCTTTAACTACAGACTTTCAGCTTTAATTTGAGGGTATTTACATACAAATCAGGTGAACAGTGTAGGAATTAAAACAGTTTGTATATGTGCCTCCCACTTTTTAAGGGACCAAAAGTATTGGGACAAATTAACAATCATAAATCAAACTTTCACTTTTTAATACTTGGTTGCAAATCCTTTGCAGTCAATTACAGCCCGAACTCTGGAATGCATAGACATCATCAGACGCTGGGTTACATCTCTGGTGATGCTCTGCTAGGCATATACTGCAACTATCTTCAGTTCCTGCTTGTTCTTGGAGCATTTTCCCTTCAGTTTTGCTTTCAGCAAGTGAAATGCATGCTCAGTCGGATTCAGGTCAGGTTATTGACTTGGTCATTGCATAACATTCCACTTCTTTGCCTTAAAAAACTCTTTGGTTGCTTTCACAGTATGCTTTGGGTCATTGTCCATCTGCACTGTGAAGCGCCGTCCAATGAATTCTGAAGCATTTGGCTGAATATGAGCAGATAATATTGCCCGAAACACTTCAGAATTCATCCTGCTGTTTTTGTCAGCAGTCACATCATCAATAAATACAAGGGAATCAGTTCCATTGGCAGCCATACATGCCCACGCCATGACACTACCACCACCACCATGCTTCACTGATGAGGTGGTATGTTTTGGATCATGAGCAGTTCCTTTCCTTCTCCATACTCTTCCCAGCACTCTGGTACAAGTTGATCTTTGTCTCTTCTGTCCATAGGATGTTGTTCCAGAACTGTAAAGGCTTTTTTAGATGTTTTTCAGCAAACTCTAATCTGGCCTTCCTGTTTTTGAGGCTCACCAATGGTTTACATCTTGTGGTGAACCCTCTGTATTCACTCTGGTGAAGTCTTCTCTTGATTGTTGACTTTGACACACATACACCTACCTCCTGAAGAGTGTTCTTGATCTGACCAACTGTTCTGAAGGGGTTTTTCTTCACCAGGGAAAGAATTCTTCGGTCATCCACCACAGTTGTTTTCCTTGGTCTTCCGGGTCTTTTGGTGTTGCTGAGCTCACCGGTGCGGTCTTTTTAAGAATGTTCCAAACAATTGACTTGGCCATGTTTTTGCTATCTCTCTGATGGGTTTGTTTTTATTTTTCAGCCTAATGATGGCTTGCTTCACTGATAGTGACAGCTCTTTGGATCTCGTATTGAGAGTTGACAGCAACAGATTCCAAATGCAAATAGCACACTTGAAATGAACTCTAGACCTTTTATCTGCTCCTTGTAAATAAGATAATGAGGGGATAACACACAGCTGGCCATGGAACAGCTGAGCAGCCAATTGTCCCATTACTTTTGGTCCCTTAAAAAGTGGGAGGCACATATACAAACTGTTGTAATACACCGTTCACCTGATTTGCATGTAAATACCCTGAAATTAAAGCTGAAAGTCTGCAGTTAAAACACATCTTGTTTGTTTCATTTCAAATCCATTGTGGTGTTGTATATAGCCAAAAAGATTAGAATTGTGTCGATGTCCCAATATTTATGGACCTGACTGTATATGCTGATAAGGGATCAGTTAGTATGGTTAATTATAATAGGTTAAGTGATGTCTATTCATTTTTCTTATTTGTCCTCCCCACTGTCTTTTTCCAGGTGGTTGTGCTGTGGGTGGGCACTAATAACCATGGTCACACACCAGAGCAGATCTGTGAGGGCATCATTGCTATTGCACGGCTTATAAGCAACAAGCTTCTCCATGCTCACACTTTAATTCTGGTTAGTACTGCCATCTTTACATTTCAGACAATCCTTAGTTTAACATAGTCTGCATTGCTTATCTACCTTTCACCAGTGCAGTGTTTGTTGAGTAACAAATTCTAAATATTATTTTGTAAAGTCTTATTTTTGTGAATAACAGTTAATAATGCAACACAAGGTGTGTCATTATGTATACAGGACACCAAAGTAGCCTGTTGCAATCGCAGTTGCACAATATATTGAGAATGCAGTGTGTGAGTGTTTTGTTTTTCATCCTGTATGGCCCAGGTCATGGCCGACATATTTGTCCTTGCTGTCCATGATGACAGTTCCTCTGTCATGTAGGGCTTGCTACCTAGGGGTGAAATCCCCAACACGCTCCGTGACAGGAATGCAAAGGTCAACGAGCTGCTCCAGCAGGCTGTGCCCTCTCTGCCCCGCGCCTCCTACCTCTCTGTGGATCGCGGCTTTGTGCAGTCCAATGGCAAGATATCTCACCAGGACATGTACGACTACCTGCACCTGACCCCTCAGGGCTACCATAACGTGTGCAAGCCTGTGCACGATGCTATCACTCATCTCCTGGAGAAGAGGGGAGAGAACTGAAAACCATCTTCTGTGCCTTGGACCATGGTTTTCATGCCAACAGATGATATACATTACGGGGGGGTTCAGTCTGATCTACCTATGGGGTATGGCTTTAAAACACTAGCCTCACTGTTTAGGTTTAAATGTAATGTATTGCAGTAAAAATGAGATGCATTCTGACTGTACCTCAGGGTCCTGCATTTTTTGCTTATTCAGCTTGTGTTGTGATTGCAAAGTTATCCACCCTTTTTTGAGGTTTGTTTTGTAATCTAGTTTGTCAAGAGAGGGGAGATGAAATGTTAAAATGGTGAGTAACAAGCTGCAATTTCACACCGGATGTGTGAAGCTTTGCATCATACATAAAAAGACACTGTTGTAATCATCCTGGCCACCTTAATACAACTGCGGATGATCAGCTGGCCCAGCTGTCTGTGTAGTGGGAGCTTTATGTTCGAGACAAACCTATCACAAGACCTGTGTTTTGTGCATTTTAGCAAATAGTATAAGACTAACTGGGTTTACTCTGCAGTTTGAAGAAGTTTGAAGTTGAAATGCAAGAAACTGCTCATTTTTTTGTAAT